AGCACAGCAGGTTATACGATCACTCCTTAATCTGCTCCAGAAAGAAATGGCACCCATCTGTGATAGCTATAACCTCACACAATACAGCTATTTGTAAACCAAACATCTCTCCATGGGTTAAGATTTATCTGCATGGGGTGAGTCCCTCCAGATCAGACATGCTACTGATGTGCTCAAATCTTCATCAACTGCCAGCAACTAAAAGACAATTACACCTGTCACTGACCAAAGTGTGAAGAGGATCCATTCTCATACCTGATTTCCCACTAGCAGGTAGATATATTAGCTAGGGAAGGGAGAAGCACAGAGACGCCAAGTTTGTAGGTCCTGGTTGAATTCACACAGAAGCAGTTAACCAAGTTTTAACAGAATTTATCAATACCAAGTGTATCAGAGGGTCAGGACACCAAGTCATGCCCCAAAACAGAACCTGGAACCTAAGCCCACCTCTTCTGTTTCCAGGCAGTTTCTTTGCCTTTGAGCTACAGATTCTCACTAGCATAACTGGTGGCATGAAAATTGAAGAGAAAGGAGCCTCAGATGAGAAAACATAAAATGTAATAAGAATTTAAAGCTTCTGCAGCTAATATAGTTCTATCTTTACTGACCCCATTTCTTGGTAAATATTTTCATGTGCATTGTTACACTAAAGGTTCATTAAGCCTTAAGCTTTTTTGCCTTTTAATCCTTTGTGGGAAGGGAATAATGTAACCATTAGGTATATGAGAGATTTCAGATGTCTGTACCAGATACATTTTCTTTCTTTCAAGTGCTTATTAACATGCAGTTTCATACTGCAGACAATTCCACAGAAATGTCCTTACCAAAAGCAGTACCAAGTCAGGAGATTTCTGTTGTAACACTCTTTGTAAAAGTAAACAATAACCAGTCTCACACGATCACCTTTGGTGATGAAACAGGTTACATTTACCAGGATTAAATCTCAGTTTAACTCTACCTGATACCAACTGAGGACCCTGAAGAAGTTGGTAGATATTTAGATTGTATGCATGAGGAGATGCAGATTTCTTGATTTTAGTTGCTGCTGGTGAAAGGACAGATATAATTTTACAATTAGGTATGAAGAACTTGGATATTAAGGAACCAAAAGCAGACATCAGTAATAAGGTCAGCTATCAAAGGTGAATGACAACCCCATTAGGACTTAAGGCAAGTCCTTGGGAATAACCTATGAATCAAAAGAGTTGCAACAGAAAGAAGAGAGACAGCTCTTGTAATTTCACAGAATTCTTCAAACCTTATTATTGAAGGGACAGTCACAGAGAGGACTTCTTTCAGAGTGCTAGAAGAACACTCACCTTACTGTAGGTTTAATGAGTGACTCCCTCCAAGATAAGATATCTGAATGCTACTAAAAATGTATCTCTGAAGCTAAATTCATTATGGCCCACACATTTGGAAAAGGGCCAGAACAGCACTGGAGAGGGCAAAATAGAATCAGATTAAACTTCATTAAACGGAGCTCTCAAGTGTACAAAAGACATCATTCAGATGTAAAATTAAGGAATAGACAGACACATTGCAAATATACTTCCTGGGTAAGCTGAAAACTCCTACTGGGAAAGTACAAGAAATTCCATGATTGGTAACACAAAAAGTTAAACAGGAAAAGGTGTTGGTGAGGCTACCTCTGGTTGTAGAGTGGTATCTATGCCTTATCTGTCTTAGAACTTTAATAATTCTGGTGACACAAAAAAAATTTTGGAGGGGTTGGGAGGGTAGAGGTTTTTGGTTGGGGTTCTTGGGGTGTTGGATTTTTTGGTGGTGTGGTTGGTTTTTATTTGGGGCTTCTGGGTTTTTTTGTTTGTTTTGTGGCTGGGGGGGGGAGGTCTTGGGGGTTTTTTTTTTATTGGTAACACAAAAAGTTAAACAGGAAAAGGTGTTGGTGAGGCTACCTCTGGTTGTAGAGTGGTATCTATGCCTTATCTGTCTTAGAACTTTAATAATTCTGGTGACACAAAAAAAAATTTTGGAGGGGTTGGGAGGGTAGAGGTTTTTGGTTGGGGTTCTTGGGGTGTTGGATTTTTTGGTGGTGTGGTTGGTTTTTATTTGGGGCTTCTGGGTTTTTTTGTTTGTTTTGTGGCTGGGGGATGGATACCTGGGGGTTTTATTTGTTTGTTTGGGCTTTTGGGAGTGGGGGTTTTTATTGGGTTTTTTGTTGTTTGGGTTGGGTTTTTTTTAAACACAGACCAAGAACCCAAACCTGAAAGAAGAATGCCATACAGAGTGGAATTACCCAATTCTCTGGACCTGGAAAAAACCCTTGTTATCCTCTGACTTTTCAAAAGAAGGTATAATATTTCAAGTGTCATGGAAAAATATGTAGTGATGCTCAAGAAATTCCTCATTGAGTGAGTTTAGTAACTTGCCATCCTAATTTGGAGACTAATAAGAGTTGTCTGCTTCTTCCCAACAATTCTGCTATTTTTGGAACCCTTCTCATAGGAGGAATACAGAGCTATTTAGTCTGCTAGTCCCAAAAGACACATATCTCAAAATCTGAAGGCTGTGACAAAGCCTTCTCCAGCATAACCCAGTATCGGTAGCCTTTGCTATTGGTTAGCTGAGCCAACAGCAGCCTGAAGACTGCATTCCTTGCTTGGCATATAGCAAAGGAGAATATAATTTGTAGTAACATATATTAGTACCTACCAAAATAATCTTGATGTGAAAAGAGTTCCAGTAAATTCAATACTTAAATTCACTAGAATACAAGTGCTCAGTGGGCCACTTATTGGTAAGCAGAACTGGTGCTACAGGATGAACCAAACATTAGCTTAAGGCACTCAATGCCAAAGTTTGTCAGACACACAGGTGTTGGCTGTGAAAACCTAGCACAACTGTTTGCCTGATTATAGGAGGCAAAACAGCAATCTAGGTGTGAAAAAGAAAGTAGAAGGCTGGAGGTCAAAAAGCTAAAAGTTAGCTCCAAAGAGTCTTCCCAGAACAGCAACAGAAACTGTTCAATTCTGCACAGAGTATTAACAAGGCAGACCAGGCACCACAGAGAAAATCAGCCTAATATAGTCTGTTTTGGAAGGCAGTTACAGAAGGACTGTAAATAAAATAAAAATAAAATAATTTTAAAAGATAAAAACAAACTTACTAGAATCTGTATAAAAAGAACCAGGTGTTACAACCCTATTCTTTTATACGACCCATACGGACAGTCAAAACTAGTCTCCTTCAGAGAAAGGGGAAGAGAACTCTTTCTAATGGCAATGCCCAAAGATCTGAAACATCTTGGATATGCAGTTACAAAACCACAGTATTTTTTAGAAATTCTGGAGTAGGAAGAGAAGAGAAGCTACCATTTTGATATATCAACCTAGACAGAGTCATGAAATAGCAAGCTTAGCACCAGAATTAGAAGGGATCTACTAGTTAGGTTTGGAAAAGTCTACCAAAGCAAACTGTCTGAAAATTAGTATCAAGGACATAAAAAGTCTCCTCTACTGATCTATTGGAAAGGAGGCAAGGAATGTTAAGCTTAAAAATGCAGGCTCTTAGCCTCCATTAACAGGCTGCCTCTGAAAAAAAAAAAAAAAAAAAAAAAAAGGAAAAAATCAGTACCAGAACACTGAGCCCCCACCAAACTCATCACTTGAATGGACACCGGTGAAGTTTTATGCAAAGCTCTTCTCAGCTTCCCTCAGGACTTTCCCCTGAAGGTCTCAAGCCTTGCGCTCCTGTAGAGCTGCCCCAGCCTGTACTGTGCAGGAGGTCTTCCTTCAATGCAGCTAAAATAATCTCAGGAAGACAGTCATGATACCAGGCAACTAGCCTCTAGCGGGATGCCAACTGTCCTCCCCCAATTAGAATATGCTCCTACTAGCTTCAGCAGAAAGAAGAGAGAGCAGTAAACCCCATATCCCATTCTAATAAGAATCAAGAGAATTAGAAGTTCTGTATATTCCTTTAGGATAGTTTCAGATTCATTAAATGACTGTACACTGTGGCTTCTCTCTGGGAAAGATTTCAGGAGAACAACCAGAGAGGTTGGACACAGGTTTAAAGGCAGTTCTACCAAAAGGCAGATCAAAGTTTATACTGTGATTATTTTCTCTGAATATTTTCACTTATACCCATACTTCGTTATTTTAGTGCTCATAACTGGACAATACAGTCCCCTCCAAATTCAGTGCTCATTTTCTTTGAAAATACTAGATACATTTGGATAAAAGTCAGTTATGTTCTAACTACTGTATCTTACTTCACTCAGATCCATGGTACTTCAAACAAAAAATTAAATTGTTAGAGATATACAGTAGTAAAGTTTAAAATTGCCAAAACTGTGGTTTTCCACATTAACAAGCAGCTTCACCAGCTTCTCATGGTCAGTGTATACATACCAGGCGTGCACTACAGCAGCATAATTCACTGCTTTTGAGTGTATTTTACAGTCATTTCAAAATACAGTGACATTTCCTCATTTTATTTATTACACAGTAAATATCCACTTGGGAGGAAGAAGTGAAATTATGCAAAGCATACCTAGGTTTCAGTTTAAATCCAGACTTTATATTATCCCACTGTAGGTTGGGGGCGGGGATGTGCATAAACAGTACAGAAAGTGTTTACAGTCAAAAACCTCAGATTTACCATTGTCACATCTTCCAAAAATCACATCTCTAACACAGATTGAGGGTTAAACATTACGACAGTCCAAAAAGTTAAAATAAGAACAGGCTATATTTAATGCAGCAATGAATAAACTGACTGGGTTACCAGAAGGATGAACACAGAAAATCCATATTACATTCCAATATCAACACTGAAATTCTACTCATTAATAAACAATTAAAACTTTTATCATAAATTGTCACTTGAATTATACATCTGCTTAACTGCCTTGCTAGACTTAAATCTAACATACTAAGTAGTATGCTTCAAAAAAACCCAAATCTTAACAGAAACAGTAAAATATTTCTTAATTCAAAAACCTCTATATACCCAAATCAATACAGTTAAAATATTACCTGGGTCATTATGTGAGTGAGGCACGACAAAAACTTGAAGTGGTTCACTGTCCCATTCATTTTCATTGTACGTAATATCAAATCCTTGTTTCCACACGCCACCATCTGGATTATCGAAAGGAAGAATGTCATAGACATCCAACATCTAAAAAAGGGTAAAAGGAATATAAAATGTGAATTCACAAACACATTTCTGCTATTTAAAACCAAAGTTGTTTTCAGCAAAACTGGATGAGTTTGTTCATTACACAGGGAGAGATGAAGTGTCAAATGAATAGAAAACTGACAAATGAGAGCAAGTTTCAAGTCACATTAGGGAACCCAAGGCACAGCTGGCAGGAAGCACAGCATTTGGCAGGCCCTGTTCTGAGGAAACAGAAATTGATTAGATAAAGGGTAGGAATAACAGCCTTAAGTCACAACAATTATATCAGCTCATAATGGTGTTAGGGCAGGGAGAGAATTACAGAGAACAGCACAATACATTAAATAAGGGAATACAGAAGATTAAGAGGACAAACTAAGCAAACAGTAAGAAGTGATGACAAAATGAGAGAGATTGAGGCAAAAGTGTTGGACTTGGCACTGCCAGGTTAATGGTTGGACTCTATGAGCTTAAAAGGTCTTTTGCAACCTACAGAATTCTACGCTTCGATGATTCTAGAAGTCAAACTCACGAAAGAGAACTGAAAGAAACTAACAAGGAAAAATGTTCAGAACTATAACAAATTGCTATAACAAAACTCCTTATGTATTTACTGTTGCCCAGTACACTAATTAAACAAAGGACCTATTTTATTTGTCAATGCAAATAAGAATGTTATGGGTTATTAAAGCAACTCTAGAGTTACTTTAACATGTTCCTATGAGATTTACACACCACCAGATAGCTTCAAAGAGAATCTCCTAATGTGAGTTTAGAACAAAGTTATCATATCCAACTTTTTTTTTTTTTTGGTAATGCTTTGCTTTTAGGAAAGAAGGCAAACTTGATGAACATGAATTATCACCTGGACAAGCTTTTTACTGGCACTATAGTTTGAAAAACCTAAACTAAACTTTAGTTTAGTTCTAACCCCATGTTAGAATACAATTGTACACCTGACAAACTGTCTTCAACAAATATTCCACAAAAATAGCCTACAGGAATCATTTACTACATGAGCCCCACAGGATTTAAAGCTTTCTAGTGTAAGCTTGTTTCCGTCCTGCTAATATTCTTGAGAAAAATACGGATACCTGAAAAAAAAAGAAGTTACGGCCTTGTGATGGGTTGCCCTTGGCTGGCTGGCTGCCAAGCCTCCACCCAGCTCTCCCACTCCCCCTCCTCAACAGGACAGGGAGAGAAATAAGATTAAAAGTTCATGGGTCAAGATAAAGACAGGGAGATCACTTAGCAATTACCATCACAGACAAAACAGACTCAACTTGGGGAACATTAAATGAATTTATTGCCAATTAAACCAGAGTAGGATAGTGAGAAACAAAGACAAAACTAAAACGCCTTCTCCCCATCTCTCTTCTAGCCCAATTCAACTTCACTCCTTCATTCCCAACTCCTCTGTGTCCCCCTGCCCCAAGTGGGGTTGCAGCCAGTCTATAACGGTTCCTCTCTGACACTTCTTCACCCCCATGCTTTTTGCTGCTCCAGCATGGGGTCCCTTCCACAAGCTACAGTCCTTCATGAACTGCTCCAGCATATAGTCCTCTCCATAGGCTACAATCCTTCAAGAACTCCTCCACTGTGGATCCCCCATAGGCCACAGTTCCTTCTGAAGATATCCACCTGCTCTGGCATGGGGTCCTCCATGGGCTGCATGGAAACATTTGCTCCACAGTGGTCTCCCCAACCTTTTCCACCAGCTGAAACACCTTCTCCCCTTCCTTCTTCAATGACCTTGGTGTTCACAGGATTGTCCCTTCCATCATTTTTTTCTTACACCTCATTGCCATGCAGCATCTTTCCCCTCCTTAAAACAGGTTCTCCCAGAGGTGCCACTACCCTTGCTGATGGAGGGATCAGCTGTATCCTGCGGTGGGTCTGTTTTGGAACTGACTGGAATGGCTGTCTTCAGCACAGGGCAGAATTGGCCTCACAGACGCCACCCCTGGAGCCCCCTGCTGTAGACACCTGGGTACCTGCACCCTCACCTCTGTGAAACATGTATTTAAGAACAGTCAATAAAATATACATTCCTCACACACTCTTCACAAACTTCATCTAAGTCTACAAAAAAAAATTCCCACACCAAAATCAAAATGACATAGCAATACTGAAAAAATAGAAAATTTACACACACAATAAAACTCCACTGCTTGTACCTTCACCTCATGACAATAACAAAAGAATCTCCACAGTTATTTCACTCTGGCAATTCCAGTCCAAGTTTTGGCCAGTACCACTCCCAGACACTGTCCTAATGTCTCATTCCTCAAGCCCTGGGTTGGGTGCCAAAAAGGACTGCAGTGGGTTGACCTTGGCTGGGTTGATGTCTGGCAGCCAGCCAAGGTCAAACCACCACAGCCCTTTAGCTTAAAGATACAAAGTCAAGTAAGTAGATGGGAATACAAGCCACTGTAATCCTAGAACAAGCCTCAGTTGGGCCTACAATGTCCATATACTAGGTATGTGTGGCCTGTGTCAAGTCACTGCTCCACCAGGATTGCTTCCACATTTGGACAATCTTGCTTAATGGAAAATGCAGGTGCAATACTTGCAGATACATGCATTCTGTATGGAAAGATTGAAGGCACCAAATCCAGGTTACATTGAAATACTGTATTTTCTTGCTTCTCTAAAATTTGACTTTGAGGAACAGTAACTCTTCTGTGGAATACAACCTTCTGAAGAAAATTAAGTGCATACTCTGAAAATTTGCCAGTTACCTTAAAACTGATAAACTCTTAAGATTTCAACCATGAAACCACATTTGTTTCAAAAGCAACAATTCATGGAATTGCCCACATTCCTACGAGTTTTTCTCATGGGTAGAGCCTGAATTTCATAACCAGCTTCCTGCAGTCCACAGGATACCATTTTTTACAGTTCATAACATACATCATTTTTTCCCTATCTTCTATTACCTTACAGTTATCTCAAACCATTCTGCCATGATTATGAGCTCAAGAGCTGGAAACTGCAATTCAGGAAATAGATCTTGGAATCCTAACCAACAGTTGGCTGAAATAACTGGCTTAATGACCTGACCCATCATCTAAAGAGGTTTGCTGCCTGTCAGGGACCCAGATCCAGGATGTTGTAGAGGAACTGTATAAACTTGTTCAACCTGCTGACTAATATCCCTTGTTGTTCTTCCATGTGGGCACCAATGACACTGCCAGGGGCAACCTGGACTGCATCAGAAGTGACTACAGAGCTCTGCGAGTAGTAATACAGGTCAGGGAAGCCCCACTGGTGTCCTCTTCAATACTACCAGTGTGGGGTAGAGATGTGAGAGGGAGGACACAAATATTACAGGTCAATAATTGGCTGCAGAGCTGGTGTTGGCAACAGGTTTTGGGTTCCTCTGACTATGGGGCCCCATTTGCAGATCAATGTCTGCTTAGGAGAGATGAGATCCAACTCACTAAGTGGGAAAAAAGTATCTTTTCCAGAAGGGTGGCTGACCTGTTAAGGACAGATTTTAGCTAGGAATAAAGGGGGAGGGAGAGAGTTAACAGCAGCCCTGTGAGGGAGTGGGGACAGGAGTGATGTGACATGAAAGGGTTAAAAAAAAAATACTTTAAAAAAAACCCCAAAAACCCCAGGGCTTAAGTAGGGTCACCTCCAGCATTTGCATGTAAGCAAGGAAGTGCCTACAGGCCATTACAGAGAAATCCACAAAACTCCTTCAAGGAAATCAGCATGCCTTGGTACCTCTCTGAAGAGCACTAATGTACACACCATGGGGAATAAATATGATGAGTTAGAGATCTGTGTGCAGTTGCAAGCCTATGATCTTGTCGGGATCATGGAGGCATGATGGGATGACTCCAGTGACTGTAAAGTTGCAACGGAAGGATACAAGCTCTTGAGGAAAGACCAGCCAGGAAGACAAGGAGGGAGAGTTGGCCTTTATGTGAGAGAGCAGCTGGTATGCATGAAGCTCTGCCTGCAAATGGCTGAGAAGGACTAAAAAGCAGACCAGTATGGGTGACATTGTGGTAGATGTCTGCTATAGGCCACATGCCCAGAAGAAACAAGTGCATGAGGCCCTCCAACAGACCGATAGGAGCAGCTTCACATTTCATAGAATCATAGAATCATTTAGGTTGGAAAAGACCTTTAAGATCATCAAGTCCAACCATTAACCTAACCCTGCCATCCCACCACTAAACCATGTCCCTAAGCACCTTGTCTACCTGTCTTTTAAATACCTCCAGGGATGGGGACTCCACTACTTCCCTGGGCAGCCCATTCCAGTGCCTGACAACCCTTTCAGTGAAGAAATTTTTCCTAATGTCTAACCTAAACCTGCCCTGGCGCAACTTCAGACCATTTGCCCTCATCCTATCGCCCGTTACCAGGGAGCTGGTCGATGTCACTGCAAGGCCACTCTTAAGAGAGAACCTTTCAACAATCATGGTGATTAGGACAAATGCACAAGGACTGGAGGTAAGCAATGTCACTCCTATCTTCAAGAAGGAGGATGCAGGGACTACAAGGCTGGTCAGCCTCACCTTGATCCCTGGGAAGGTGACGGAGCTAATCCTGGAAACCATTTCCAAGCACATGAAGCATGAGAAAGTCAACAGGAGTAGACAGCATGGATTTACCAAGGGCAAGTCATGCTTGACCAAGCTGAGAAACTTCTATGACGGTAAACTTCTACGACTGGCCTGGTAGATGAGGAGAGAGCAATGGATATTGCTTACCTTGACTTCTGTAAAGCTTTCAGCACCACTTCCTATAAGATCCTCATAAGAGAAGCTGTTGATGTATGGGCTGGATCAGCAGACAGCGAGATGGACCAAAAACCAGCTGAACAACCAGGCCCAGAGGGTGGTGATCAATGGCACAAAGTCTAGTTGGAGGCCAGTAACCAGGGGTACACCCAGAGGTCAATACCAGGTCAAATTCTATTCAACATCTTAATTAATGAGTTGGATGATGGGTCAGAGTACACCCTCAGCAAATTTGTGGACAGCAAACTGATACACCAAACTGTTGGCTGATACAACAGAGGGTCATGCTGCCATCCAGAGGGATCTCAACAGGCTGGAGAAATGGGCCAACAAAAACCTCACACAGTTCAGCAATGGGAAGTGCGAAGTCCAGCACCTGGGGACAAACAACCCCAGGCACCAGGACATGCCAGGGGCCACCCAGATGGAAAGTAGCTTGGCAGGAAAAGGCCCTGGGGGTCCTGGTGGACGCCAAATTGAACATGAGACATCAATGTGCCCTTGAAGCAAAGAAGGCCAATGGTATCGTGGGCTGCATTAAGGAGGAGTGTTGCCAGCAGGTCAAGGGAGGTGATCTTTCCCCTCTACTCAGCACTAGTGAGGCCACACCTAGAGTACTGGGACCAGTTCTGAGCTCCCCAGTAGAAGACAGACTTGGACACAACAGAGAGATTCTTACAAAGGGACACAAAGATGATGAAGGGACTGGAGCATCCCTCCTATGAGGAAAAGCTGAGAGAGCTGGGACTGTTCAGCCTAGAGAAGGCTTCAGGAGATCTTATCAATGTGTACAAATAACTGAAGGGAGAGTGCAGAGGAGCCAAGTTCTTTTCACTGGTGACCAGTAACAAGACAAGAAGCAATGGGCACAAATAAACACACAGGAGGTTCCTCCTGAACATCAGGAAGCACACCTTCCCTGTGAGGGGGACCAAACACTGGCACAGGTTGCCCAGAGAGGTTGTGCAATCTCCATCCTTGGAGATATTCAAAAGCCATCTGGACATGCTCCTGGGCAACGGGCTCTAGGTGGCCCTGCTCATTGAGCAGAGGGGTGGACCAGATGACTTCCAGAGGTCCCTGCCAACATCAACCATTCAGTCATTCCGCAGTATGAATGTCAATCAGAAGCATTTTAAATAAGCCAAGGAAAAAAAAAATTAGGACTCAAAAACTTCCACTGGAATAAACTGAAGCCAGATCAGGCTGAAATCATTGCCCTTGTGCCAAGACATCCAGAAATCAGATGTTAAGTCACTTTTATCTTTCATGTAACACTATCCTCAGTAAGAATTGTGCAAAGAATTAATTAAGAAATAATAGCATAGTTTGTGCCTCTTCAGGCCACCATTTTAAATAGTGGTTCATGCCTCATTTTTAAAAGGAACATTACTAAGCACAACATTAGATGCTTCAGTAGTTGAAAGGGACAACTGAAGCTGAAAGGTGCCTTCGCACCTCACCATATTAGTTAAAAAACCTTCCAGCTCAGTTATGATGACTGTTGAGAATTCTATCTTCTTTGAGCAAAAATTCCACATACTGCTAACCTAAAAAAGCATCAGGTCATAACCATATTTAATACAGAGTTCTTCACTTTGTTGGTTTTATTACTTAGCTCCATTTTCATCTTTTGAAAAAAGTCTTGTACTTCAATTTGAGTTATGTAAGTTCTCAATTCAGTGTTATTTTCAGTGGCCAGCTCTATTACAATTTCCTACCTACCTACAAACACTGCAAGTAACTAAACAATTTCTTGATTTACAATTCCTCCATGAAAAAAATCCTCAAGCTATCTAATCCAAGAATCTTTTGGGTCTCATGTTATTAATAACTTGTTTTGTCCGATTTATGCAAAGAAAATACATCTCTCCAAGTAGCAAGTCCTGGTAATATTTCTCAGTGAGACATCACAAAGGTTTTTAATCCATATTTGAATTCATTCTTATAATGGTTTATCCATTATGGGAGACTATAATGAACTCCAATAATTTATTCAGTGGAGTCTCTTTTGCCTTCATTCTCTAAAGTGATTTTTATCCAAACACTGTCTCATCTATATTAGCTCTTACTTCTTTCTAGTCTCTCATTTCATTCTCATATATCCACTTAAAAGACAAACATGGAAAAAGTAAGGTCCAAATCTGTGGGTTTAAGTTAACATTTATGAACAGTGAGTAATTAACACTTACAAGCTGGTTTAGAATTTAAAGTAAAATAAAAAAAACAATGCTCCAAATAAATTCAAAACTTCTAAATTTTTTTTATAAAGACTGAGAAGAAAAAAAATTAACTGAGCTTGCAGAATAAATCAGGACTGGTGAATTATTAAATAGTCAAACCATATTCAAACACAGTAATTTAGATCAGTTCATTAATGTGTTGTTACAGGAATTCTGCTAAAGTCAAGGTCTTAGATTCCCTAACTGAAATGCAGGTCAGACTCCCAGGATGAGAAACTGTATACAGAAGCAGTATTAAAGTGACTTAAGGATGATGGCAGATAACCTGCTAAGTACAAGGTACTAACGCAATGACACAAAGAACATTAAAGCCCTCCCTCCCTGTGCAAAGCAAGGAAAGTGTAATGGAACAATATTAAAAATATTCCCTGCTATACTCGTTACTCAAGTACATGCATATAATCTTAAAATTAAAGGACAATTATAAAAAAGTTCAGTTACTACAGCCTACCATTGCATAGGTAGGTACATTAGTTGATAGTAGGTACGTATTCTGATATTCTGCAAATGTGAAGCAAAACATGACAACAGTTTAAGAAAACATGTTTTACTTTCCATTCATAACAGGTTAACATGTCCAAGAATTTAAGCCAACACTTTGTACCTCAAAGTTCACAATTCACATTCACTAGAACTTATTTCTAATGCACCTAAAAAGGCACATCACTTAATATGGTAACAGACTGTAGAAGGAATAACCCGCTAACAATCCAGTAACTTGAAAACATGTAATTATAGGTCCACATGCTTTATGTTCCTGCACAGAAGTCTTAATGTATATTAGAAACATAAACAGTCAGATATTGCCTTTAAAAAAACTACCTTCTCTGTAAAAGACATATTAAGGTGGTGCCTATCCCTGAAGAGCTTAAAGGCATTATGAATGATACATCAGAGGTTACAATTGTTCTAATATGTGTACTTATTCATCTTAAGTCCACTGTCTTTCTCCTGCAATAGAAATACTTTCACTTCTAGAATGAGAAAGCTGGACTTCAAAATTTAATCTTTGCTTTAGAGTACTATGAATATTTATAGTACTCCCACAAGGCTCCCAAAAACAGTACAGATCACAAACTTCTCACAGAATTCTCAGAACTCCTGAAACACTCCATTAAAACTGAATATATAAGAGTCCATGAACTCACAAGCATCACCAGAAAGGAAAATAAATTCAACTTGAAGTGTTTAACTTTAAAAACTTCAGCATCCACAGTTCATGCCAACCAGTCAACATGGTATATATCCCTCCTTATTATACTCCTGATCAAAGTGCCTGTACAAACTGCAGACACACAAGAATGCTGAACTACAGAAATGGCATTCAGAAGGGAACACAATACCTGAGATTTTTTTAAATTAATAGTTCTTGGAACATTCTTTACCTCCCCCTCAAGACCCATCTACATATCTATTCCTAAAATGTAAAACCTATTTAAATTAAGGCTATCCACTATTTCCAGTTTATTTGTCATCAATTTTAGAACAATGTTGGGAAACTGAGACCCTCAAATAAATTCTTTCCAAAGAACTTCTGACAGTACTGGACAATAATCTGAGTATAATCACTGGGTTTTGTTTGGGTTTTTTTTAAGAAGTTTCAGGCATTCTGAAACATTGGCTCTTCATAATCACTATTCAATCTCTAGCCAGGTTAAAAAAAGGTAGAAAGGAGCAGTTTTATAACACCTGTTAAACACAAGTCACTTGAACAATTCTATTATGTCTTAAATTAGGAGCTTAGTACCAAGCTTTTACCAGTAATTAGACATTTGCAGAATTAAAAGGTAATGACAGCTTAGGACCCCAGTAGAATAAGAGAGAAAGGCATATTGCTTACCTGTACACCTGAGCCATGGCTTCCACTTTTTGAAGCAAACAAACAATCCTCAGAATCAACTGCAAGCAAAACTGAAGCAGAAGGAAAAAGCTCAGAGACAGATCCTTGACTGAAGTTTATAGCCTCTGGATTTTTTTGACCATCCTTTACCGATTCACTCAGATTGATCACAGAATCTCGTATGTTTGAAATAATCTCATTATTTTCTGCCAACAGGCGTTCTAAATGATCTATTTTTTCTTGCAGTATTGAAATCTGGCCCTGTAAAAAAAAAAAGTTTAATTATTTCTCAGACCAATTCTTGACAGATTTTAAAAAAATTCACAATAGTATATGATCACACAAAAAATCAAATAAATATTTATTCTATATTTTATGTAAAGACAAACTAATAAGAAATTGAACCAACATATGAAACCTTCTTTCAGAATAAGGTAAAAGAACAGAAGTTTCCACTATGAGCTTGAATTCGCAGCACAATATTTAATCAGAGATGCAAAGATACTCTTAAAAGGTCACAATGTTTCAAGTACCAATTATGCCAACTTCTACTTTTTTCAGGTCTATCATAGATTTGCAAAAATCTGATCTTTTAATTTATCATCACATCAGAACATCAAAGGCAAAGCCATTTTTTAAAAGACAATCACATTATGATTATTATGATGATTATGATCAACAGGATGCATACAGGTTAGGTTTTTCCTGTACATGTAAAATAGTATTTCAAAAAAATTCAAAAAATACTGAGATTCTTATTTGCAGTGAAATTTACAGAGAAATTAACAAAAGCACTTAATGGGGATAAAAGATCCCTTAATAGCCTGATCGTAGTAGTAATCTGTATAATTAGACCATTACAAACATCAAGATAATGCTGTAAAAGACAGTTCAAACTGATAGCACATTCACTCAGGTCATGTTCAGTTGCCAGACAACAGGATTTTGTAGATGATTCTAGTGTGCACCACAAGAGGAAGGATCTAGGATAACATCAATGTGAATTGAAAGAAGTCAACGTATCTCCCAAAGCAACCTGGAAGGAGAGACAGATACCACAAAGCAATTTAATAGCAACTAATCACTGTACTGTTGGAATACAGGAGGCAGCACAGCAGAACAAAATACCTGGAAATGCTACTGCCCTCTCATGTACTAGCCACTCCTTCCAAATTCTTTGAGTTCAGGCATGAATGTGTTATACTCAACAAGAAGCCAGATTATTTAACATGTTTTTAGGGATATTTCATCTGAACAGTAATTTTTTTTTTTCTCAGACTGACTTCAACCTAACAATAATAAGAAAAGATAGAGAACAAAAAGCCAGCCACTTCCTATTATTAAAGTTGTGGTCAGACCCCAAAATATACAATGTATGATTAAGTTTTTTTCAAGAAGCTGTCATTACAACAAAAAACCCTGCAGATTAAGGCATTTACATTTTACCCATTCAACACAAATAACATTAATTCAGTAGACAGCTACTGTGTGACCTATGATTTTAATGAGAAGTAAAACTTTTTTTCCTAGCACCAATGCCTTATTTTCTAAGTAATATAGAATAATATTAGAAACAACATCTGTCCACGACACTTTTCTCCTGATTAATAATAATTTACTTGAGGCCTTTGCATTTTCTTTTTAAGGGACAAATTGCTTTCCTTAAGTGCCAAGTTAATTCCAACTTCTGTAGTTAGGTTGTAATTTGCAAAGGATTTAGCCTCCCTTCTAAACTGTGATGTGCACTTTCTTTTAAATTCTGTTCACTTTGAGAAGTCTTCAGGAATAAAAAAACCACTCCTTACCAACAGATACCAATCAGCCTCTTGCGTTCTACTAAATCATCATTCCTATAACTCTGTTTTTATGGAAGTTCTCTGTTATTCTGCAGAAAACACATTTTATGGTAAGTTTGTCCCCTTATTTTCTGGGCCGTGTAAAGAGCTGACCCGCTACTTTGTTTTTTTTCTTAGACTGATACATTCTGAAAACAGTAACGGGTATTAAAATGCAACACAGGCAAAGAGTTACTGCTTCCCAAAAGACAAAAACACATTTTGACAACAGATCCAGATTAAGCTAATTGAGATGTAGGGCAAACATCCTAGAAACTCAACACTTTAAAGACAAATACTAGAAACTTATAAAATAGATGAACCGAAAACAACAGGAAATCAATATGCAGATGGTGGGATACTGGAAAGGGAAAAAAAAAAAACTGTAGTCCCATGCCCCCTGGTGGCACAAGAGAAACAACCAGACTGAAATCTTTTGAATGCTACATTGGTGTGTACACATTTCTGTGTAAAATAAGTATTTTCCCTTTCAACGCCTGTGATATTTGAAAAGAAAGAAAAGTTTCTCTACTCAGAAAACTAATAGCCTATTATGCCTCTCACTTTAAAAATAACACACATAAAATAATACTGATTAGGGCTTTACAGGCTGCCCAACATAGCCCCTGGTCTTTAGATTCCTGAGATGCTAAAGAATAGCTGCCATCTATACAAATTATTACCTGCTTTACTGCACATGACTATAGGTCACCAAAGTTACCAATGTGTAAGCACCTAAAATGCTGCTCACGCCTATCACTATATACACATTGCCTCTACAACTGTAAATCAGACAACTGTTCAAAATTTATGTTCTCATTCACGTATGTTCTAGAAATATTTTACCTCATCCTACAAGAAAGGAGTTTCATATTGCTTAGCAATAGCCTGACAAATACCTGGTCACAGATTACACCATCTATCTGCCTTATGTCATCTAGCCAAGTATAGTCTTTCCAGCACTGGCCAATAACAGACACAGAGTGGGGGGCAAACAAAAGAAACCCAAACCACCCCACCTTAAAAAAAAAAAAACCCTACCAAATACATACCCAGACTGATCCTTCCATTGGCATATACTACCAACTTCTAGCAGTCAAATATAAAGTTCCAATTTGGAGGTTGTATCATATTTCATATCTCTAAGACGTACCTTTTATTTAACTTCTATACTTTAAACCTTCAAACATCTATAATAACAACTTCTACCATTTTACTGTTTATTGTGTGAAAAAACACTTTTCTCTGTAAACTAAGTTCCCCGCTTCCTGTGTCACAAGAAATAGTAATTTGTTCCCTGATCATTTTCAAACAACAATGATTTTTTTATGTTGCTATATACTTAAAGCAGTATTTTGTTTTTAAGGTGGAGAGTTCAAGCCTACCTAGGACTCTCAAGAGTTTTAGAAGTATATTAAAGTATGTTACTTTAACTCCAGAGGTAGATATTCTGTTATTTAGAGAAAGAAGTCTTTGCAAAGACCTCCCACTGTGGAAACTAATAGAGGACATTAATAAAGACAACCCTGCTTTCTTTTCTGAAGACTACAAGATGCATCATGCCTCTCTTCTAAAGCATTTAAACATGCCATGCACTAACTCAACTTGAATGCAAAACATGAAATAAAAAGCTACAGTTAAGAACATGAAACTAAGACATAATGCAGTATGTAGTATGACCTCATGCAGTACCCAAGTTAAAACTGACAGGCAACCAAGTCTTTTGAGATTTTAAAAATATTTTCAATTTCTGTTGTGAAATGCATCAGCCATGAGAGTTAAATTTAATAAACAGTGTCACAAACTAGAAATGGAGCCCAATTTTGATTCAGTATGAAAACAGTTAATAGCAGGAATCCATTCTAAAGTTGAAAATTACACATGGATCCAAACTGTGCAAAAGCTAGGTCTATTTCCACTGCACATTCACCTTTTCACCTTAGTCATTTTAAATAGGTAGAAGTAGACAATGCCTAGTATATAGTATTCAATAGTAAAATGATTTTAAAATACGAGATAAACATGGTGAATATTGCAAGCCTTCACGACAATGAAAGCAATGTATGAAAATAAGTTAATTCAGTTCCAGTATTTTTAGAGGAAGGCAACCAACTTACACTGCCCAGCTTCAAATATCAAGGCCAAACAGTACAAAACAGCGAAGTTACTCTAAAAACGTTTTCATTGTATTGATTGCCAGTAACAGATGTTGATTTACTAGTAAAACAGATTAGAAGAATGTTACAGAGGGCATTAAGTAGGTCCAACCAAAAAAATAATACACACAGGAACTTTCAATTACTGAAAAGGTACTCTAACTATTTTGGTTTAAACTAAGTATGAAAATTTTCCACACATTTGGGGGGTGAGTGGGCAGGAATTATTTTTTTTTTCTTAGCAGAGATGCACCAGTTTTACCTTAATTTTGTGATCTACAGGGCTTTGTAGATACAGGATAGCAAAATTTGTCTAGCTGCACAATTCATAAATGTCAGCAGACTTCCCCCTGAGTTTACAGCATCAGGTCTTCTCAGAAAGGAAGCAATCCTGATACAAGACTTTGAGCACAGAAAATTGGAGGTATGCTATCTGGATAGGTATGTCTTAGTCCAAGTCAACATCATTAAAGGATGTTCTGTTAATCTTGTTTTAACACAAAGAAGTGCAATGTAAAGTTATGTGAATCACCTAGCCTATACAACCAGGTAACAAGTTTGATAACAACTTTGGTACAAACTTCTTTCTTTCATTTCTCTCTGCTTTTATATATTGATAAGACTGTGCAAATAAAGATTTTATTAAAAAGCAAGTAAGGCAACCCTGCTGTTACTCCACAGCAAAGCAACACTTTCTGCAAGAAATGCAAAGTACTAACAAATCCAACAGTATCGAAACTTGGTACAGCTGCACTGGTAGACAAATGGCATCACGTGAGCAGCGCATCTGTTCACCATTCCCATGGTTACATAGGGTTGGACTGAAGGAACAAAATCTTCCCATGTGAGGACAGGACAGATTGGCACACCCTCCTCCCATTTGGAACAAAAACTGTCCGTACCTGCTAGCTGCACTGAGCAACCTGCCGCTTCTGCTACATGAACCAGCTACGTAAACAGCTCCTTATGCTTCAGTCAGTCTGAACCCTTCAGCAGTTTTCATGCCCCAAATACTCCAATGCAGTCTGCTTTCCCACTGCCCTCTGTTTGTCCTTCTCTGTTTGCTTCTGACACTGGTCTGATCTGTAGCAAGGACTCCCTCCAGAAATGAGCATACTGCCACCCAGAACAAGGAGGGAAGTCCAGTAACATAATGAGCGATCAAGCTGCTTTATTCTGGGGAAATGGAGAATGGACAGTTTTCTCCCATCTAAACATTGTACCCTGTAAAGAGGATGAGTTGGGACTTCCATTTCCTCAGTAAATGTTCACTCCATCTCTAAATGCAGTTGCTTTCAAGAGGCCATTAATGATCATTTCATCAGGAAAAAGACAGCTAGCTCAAACAATTAAAGTGGGAGTATGATAGGCCAAAAGACTGGGAAAGCTCATGGAAACAGGCAGGCAGTGGAGAAATCCACATCAGAGACTTCTGAGGTTAGGTCAGTGGGAACTTGATTCTTTGTATCCAGACTCAGCCAGCAACCAACCACCAAGTGCTTGGTTCAAAGCCAGCCAGAGCCCATTCTCCTTCTCACCCACATGAACAAGGAAGAGACCACAAAGCAGCTGGCAGTGTCCTGCATAAAAGGCTCTGGTGCACCGATGAGCTGTGGTGAAGAGAGCACAGTACCGCAATGAATGGAGTTCTCGGAGGGGGATGTGAAATTCAAGTCAAGATTGTTGCCCATACAGATGTACTGCAGTAAGCAGTGAGGAAACCAGACTCCAAAAGTCTCATTTTCTGGCTGCACTGAGTGGCAGTCATCTTAATAATTTTCTGCACTGGTCTTGTCAATAACTATTTCCAGGTACATCTTCACAAATCACATACTAACTGCACTAAAATCTGATATAAACCTCTGATCAGATGCCAGCATACTAAGGTGGTAAGACCAGAAAGCATTCTCTGTTCGCTGTTACAGCACTGTACAGTGAACAAAACATACTAAATGTAGAATTAAA